GGGCTGTCAATCCGGCAATGGGGCAGTGGTAGCCACCCGTACCTTCACTGCCCGCAACTCGGGTGTAATACCCATGAGGATCGAAGGCTTCCTAATTGGCTCTCTGCCCTGTGAGGATTTTGGCTTCAAGGTGATAGACTGCGAGGGATTTGATCTCGGCGAGAACGAAACCAGAAAAGTGGAAATTGCTTTCAGCGCGGACTTTACTTCCTCGAGGGTCAAACGGTCCCTTACGCTGCTGACAAACCTCACCTACGATATAAGCTATCATCTCCTAGCGCAAATGCCTGCGGAAAGTGTGGAGCTGTGCGCCTCTCTTTTGGTGAGACCCGGATGGGAGACCTCCCTAAAGAACGCCGCACTTGTCGTGCTCCTGGCCAGCTTTGGTCTGGTTCTGGTGGCGGCTGTGTTTGATGCGAAAGCCATAATGGCTCAGCAAAGTGCCTACGATGCGGCCAGGAACAAAGGACCCTTGCAGCCAACTTTTAATCTACGGAATATAGTGAAGCTGCAGGCGGAGGAGGCAGCGGCTAAAGCGGAGGCTGTGCAACAGCAGAAGGCCAGAAATGGCCAAGTTAAAGAACTACGCAAGCGAAGTGTAGTGAACCCGACATCTAAGTCAAAGTCAAAGTCCTCCTGGTCACCATGGAGCATGGACATGAATGCTCTGAGTAAGCATCTGCAAAAAGCAAAACCAAAGACGGTGGTGAGCACCCCAGTTACTCCTCCTACTACTGCTGTTGCTGCTCCTGCTCCTACAGCACCCATACCGGAAGCTAAGCCGGTTAAAAAATCTTCTACGCCTTCGCCCCAAGCTGCTCCCATCTCAAATCAAGTTCGGCCCCAAAAGAAGGTTAAACCGACTTCTGCAGTGGCCCCAGCGGCATCCAAACCCAAGCCGGAACCCTCAACCCCGGTCGTGGATCTACAAGAAAAGCCGTTGGCCAAACCAAGTCCCCCGCAACAGGAGAACATATCGCCCAAGCCCAACAAGGCACCAGAGCCGCGCGTTCTTAAGGAACAGAACGGATCAGCGAAGAAAATGGGCAAGACACCGGGAAGAGAGCGGGAAAGGGAGCGCCGCAAGGAGCAAAAGCTGACGAATGGCTCAGGAAGTGCTGGAGTTGGATTCAAGAAGCCGGAGCGGAAGCAGCGTCAGAAGCTGAACTTTGGCCAGACCACAAACAACGCCACGCCGCCATCCTCGCCGGATGCTCTCAAGTGCATCAGCTCTCCTTGGGAAATGAGCAGTCGCGCCTCCTTCCGAGATGTGGTGCGGACGCCGCAAATCGCGCCCACTGACAACGGCTTGGGTTGGAGTCACGGGACTTCTTCGAGTGATCTAGGACCGATCGGTGACAGCCGCAAGAACTCCACGCCACCGACGGTGACATCGTTGTGGGAACCTCTTTCAGCTACGGCCAGCAATTCGTTGTTTGCCAACGCAGAGGTGGACTTCTCAACTCCAGATGGTAAGTAGCTCTTGCCATTACGAGTCTATAAGTTCCTAATGTATATCACCTTTTTCTCGAACAGTTAACTACGAGCAACGGGAACGGGAGAAGCAGCAATGGGAGCAGCGCAGCGACTTGATCATACAGCAGCAGCTGCTTTTACAGCAGTCCCAGAAACTGGAGTATCAGCAGATGCAGCAGGAAAAACTTTCGCTGCTATCGAATTTGGAGCCAAGTAACTGGGCCACCAATTGGTCGCCGCTGGGATACACCTCCTGGCCAGACGCCACACCCAGCATGGGTGTTATGCGTCCTCCGCCAGGCCTGGAGCAGAACGCACCCCAGACGCACAACCTAGCACAAGAACCGGGCCTAGCGGGAGCGGTAAATGGAACTGCAGTTCCCGGCGAGAGTCTGCCCACGCAGTACGATCCCTTCACCTCGCCCAGCTCAATCTGGTCCGATACATGGCGCCAGTCCTCGCAGCGCAACAACCATAACCACATGAACTAAGGGGATGACGAGGAGCAAGCTCACTGATCAAACCGAATCAACCAAATGAAATTCTTACCACTTAGGATACCTAGGATACGCGACGATGGAGGAACGCAGAATGATCTTTTCCAATTTGACTTTTGACTAATAAACGCAAAGATAAATGACTTTCATATCAAACTTTGTTCATTGTTTTGTTGCCAGTTGCGAGTTATTTCATCTATGTATTTTAGTTAGCTACTTTTCCTTGTACGAGATGATGCCCTTCTCGATGAGGTCTGGAATCTCTACGGCCAGCCAGGGAGCAAGCTGTGAAAAGGGAATAGTATTGTAGAGATCTGTATTTGTTACTACAAGATAACAAGGGACTATACTTACACCCAGTGCCATGGCATGGGCGATGCCGAACTTGGGAACATTGCGGGCCCACAGGGGCTTGAAGTGATCCGTCAAGCAGATCTTGCCGCCGCGGTACATCTTCGCTGTCTTGCCGTCGAGCTCCGGAAGGGCGATCTCTGGCGCAGTGGTTGGGTACGTCACTGGAATGTCGAACTCCACGTCGAACTCGTACTTCAACAGGTTGTGCATGTACCAGCACTTTCCGAACCACTTGGTGCCCTCCTTGTTGGACTCCAGTCGGAACCAGTCGCTGCCGGACTGCTTGTTGTTCTCCACGTACTGTGAGCGGGGATAGTTGAGTGGAATCTCTGGATATGACTACTGTATCTGGATCTGGAATACCTTGATCAGTGCCTGGTACTCCTCCTTCAGCCGCTGCACCCACACATCCTTTTCACGGGGCCCAGCGCGTATCTGCAGCAGGGGAATGTTGCTCAGCGTTTTCCGGGTGCTGTCGTCCACCATCTCGTCCGGAATATGGCCAAAATTAAGGAAAACTCGGGGGAAAACAAAAGCGTTGAGTTGACACGTTCACTAGGGATGCAAAAACATCGATGTCACTATCGATACTATCGATGTTTTTTAAAACAGCGATGTATCGATGCTTTTTTTCGAACATCGATGTTATCACTAAGAGATACACACGCAAAGCAAGTGGTACGTAAATTGGGAAAAAGTGCACATTTTTCCATTTTATTAAGTATTGTTACAGTTTGATACAGGTAAAACATATTAGGGCGGTTCCTCTCGGCACAATGGACAGGTTTCTGCACATAACAAGTAAGTTCCAGTCGCAGCAGTTGTTATTTCATAATTTTAACACTGTATTGCGTTTTAGACCACGTGTCTATATTCATAAATTGAAGAAAATTTCGATGTTTTTAGCGAAATTTCGAGGTTTTAGCAAAATTTCGATGTTTTCGCGAAATTTCGATGTTTTAGCGATATATCGATGCTTACAAACATCGATGTTGAAAACATCGATGTACTCACTATCGATGTTTTTGCATCCCTAACGTTCACGGTTGTATGTGCGAAAGAGACAACTGCAACAGCTGAGCCAGGTGGATGCAGGCAGGGGCGTAGTCAAAAGTCATTAAAGGGGGTTGGAATTGTAGCTAAAAAACATTGTCTGGGAAATAAATTAACTCTTTCGAGAGTGGAATTGTTACCTGAATTAGGGAAAAATAGTATTTCCGGACCTTCAAAATCAATCCTACCTTCTGAAGGATATTATTTCATTAAACTATCGGGTGCTACTACTATTGTTTGTGCTTTTTTATCACCAAAAATAAGTCAGACTTAAACTTAGATATATATATAAAACAAACAATTAGCGTCTTTAAATGAGATTTGACCTTTTTTTAAGTACGCAACGATGTAATGTTGGTTGCCAATTCATTAACAGTCGATAGTCATCGATTACTTGGCGCCAATAAGAGGCGCGAAATTAAATCCCGCCTTATAAAACGGAAATGATCCGTTTCGTATTGCTTTTAGTTACCATTCAACAATATGAAGGCAGCGGTAAAGAACAAAATCTTAAAGAGCGTCCTAGTGATAGTGTGAAATTAAACAAAAGTCCTGAAAAATTAAGATATTTTGGTACAGTGACTATGTAAATATTTGACCCTTTATATGGAATGAGCTCTGATTTTGACGCGGTATTTATACCCGTTACTCGTAGAGTAAAAGGGTATGCTAGATTCGTCGGAAAGTATGTAACAGGCAGAAGGAAGCGTTTCCGACCCCATAAAGTATATATATTCTTGATCAGGATCACTAGCCGAGTCGATCTAGCCATGTCCGTCTGTCCGTCTGTCTGTCCGGATGCACGCTGAGATCTCGGAAACTATGAGAGCTAGGCTATTGAGATTTGGCGTACAGATTCCTGAGCTTCTTACGCAGCGCAAGTTTGTTTCAGTAGACTGTACACACGCCCACTCTAACGCCCACAAACCGCCCAAAACTGTAACTCCTACAGTTTTGATGCTAGATAGAAAATTTTAACTGAAATGTATTGTTCTCATCAATACCTATCGATTGACCTAAAAAGTGGCCACGCCCACTTAAACGCCCACAAACCGCGAAAACCTGTGACGCCCACAATTTGCATGCTTGATAAAAAATTTTAACTGAAATGTATTGGTGTCGTCAATACCTATCGATTGATCCAAAAATAAATTTGCCACGCCCACTCTAACGCCCATAACGCTTAAATCTGCCTACCGCCGGTAGGTGGCGCATTTTAATCTCGCTTTGCTGCTTGCATATCTCCATTTCCCTTTGAGTAACGGGTATCTGATAGTCGAGGTACTCGACTATAGCGTTCTTCCTTGTTTTTATTTGAATGATACATGAAAAAAACGAAATACGCTTTATTTTCTTTTATCTTTTTCTTATATGTTGCATATACACTTTAGGTTTAACGAAAACGGCAAACAAAAGTTTTTATACCCTTTCAGACTTTATTAATTTAAATGTGACTAAAATAAGGCAAACATAAATGTAAAATAAAGAACTGGAGACAAATATCGTGACAAACATCAAATTTGTACATATTTTGTTACACACTTTTGACCAAAATTAGAATTGTATGTATGTAAGTCAAAATAAAATTCAAAGTGCATACTATAAAGTAGTGCATAGATATTCCGCTGTATTCTATTATAAAACCACTCAAAAAGTTTTTCCTTAAGTCCTACGGTTACATTTCTCCCAGATTACAATTAACTTGTCCCCATAAAAATAAGTAATATAAGAATTTAGTCCTGGAAATCACTGAAGCCAGCGGAAACCACAACCGGATTCAGCCTGTTGATCCCATCGAATCAGGGTTTTCCATTAAAGATCTCACAAATTGTTTACCCCTCGAGTCGCTCTGATCACAACAACAGCCATAGTGTCTCATTTGGTTTTTATTGGGTCGAAGGGCCATAGTGCTAGCACTCTGCTCCAGGGCTGTTGGGTAATGAAATCGCTTCTCCACCTCCTGCCTCGACATTCTGCCCTCGAGTCGCTCTGATCACAACAACAGCCATAGTGTCTCATTTGGTTTTTATTGGGTCGAAGGGCCATAGTGCTAGCACTCTGCTCCAGGGCTATTGGGTAATGAAATCGCTTCTCCACCTCCTGCCTCGACATTCTGCCCTCGAGTCGCTCTGATCACAACAACAGCCATAGTGTCTCATTTGGTTTTTATTGGGTCGAAGGGCCATAGTGCTAGCACTCTGCTCCAGGGCTATTGGGTGATGAAATCGCTTCCCCATTTCCTGCCTCGACATCCTGCCTAGTCTCCGTGGTCTTGCGTACACTCAAGGCAATAATTGTGTCCGATTTTCGAGAACGACTGAACCGCTGGTGGCGGCTCTCCTCCCACTCCTTGCGGTGCACCTTCTTCCGGTGGGCATGCATGTTGGCATTGGAATTAAAGGTCTGCGGACAATGGGGACAAGTGTATAAAACCTCTCCCGTGTGGGTTGTCATGTGTTCCTGCAAAGACATTTGCTTAATAGCTGATCGAAAGCGGTGAATAATTTAGCTAAGATTACCTTCAGCTCGTTTGGTCGCTTGAAGGCCTTCTCGCACATAGGGCATTGATGGCTACGCGCCGTATTGTGGGTGTACTTAATGTGGTGCTGGTGGGCCTGCAGACTGGGCGAGATCTTTAGGCAGTACTGGCACTGCATCGGTTTCAGGTTTTCGGCGGTATGCATCATTTTTATGTGGCGCGCAAGACCGTATTTGGTGGTTAGCGTGGAGTCGCACAAGTGGCACTTAATCGCTGCCTGTGGCGCGCCAGTGTGCTCCTTCATGTGCCTGGCCAAGGCTTCGCGTCCTCTGATCGATTTTCCACAGACATCACAGATCTTAGCATATAAATTCAAATGGACCAGCTTGACATGCTGCTGCATTGTGTACTGGGTGGGGAATCTGCAGAGAATAACGTTTATGATATGAAGAAAACTGTGTAATCTGGTCACTCACGTCTTCTCGCAGTGGGTGCACTTCACCTGCCATTGCTCCCGGGGAACGTGCGTCAGTTTGTGGCGCTCGCAAACAACGGCGCTGTAGAAGCTCTTGGAGCAGTGATCGCAATGGTAAAGGCGACCGCGCGTTTTGATATCGTGCATGCGCATGTGCAGCTCCAGACTGCGGCGGTGACCCATCACGCGCGCGCAGATTGAGCACTTGAAGAGCTCAGGGTCCTGGTGACGGCGCAGGTGGTCCACGAGGTAACCCCGCTTCCAGAACTTGCGGTTGCAGCACATCGAGTAGCCGCGCTGCTTGTGCTCGCGTCGGACATGCACTAGCATCTCGGAGAAGCCTTCCATGGGAGAGCTGCAGATATGGCACTGGACTTTGTAGTGCTCGCGGATGAAGTCGTTGAACTCCTGCGACTTCTTAGTGTTGGGCACACCGTCTTTACTGGGCCGCTCAGCTAGTCGCACCCGTCCACGTCCCTTTGGCCGTCCGCGTACCTTTCGCTTTATCTTCGGCTGGGGTTCCCTTTGCTCCTCCTCCTCATCCTCTTTTTCGTCCCCGCTGATACATTCGTCGGAAAGGTATTCGTGCTCCACCTGATCCTCCAGCACATCGGCGATGGTTAAATCGGCCTCGGGGAACTCGATTTTTATCTCGTTCAGGTTGATTTGCTCCAGCACGCACTTCAATTCCTCGCTGGCATCCTTCGGAGGTTCCTTACGGGGTCGTCCTCGTCGGCGCTTCACGGCAGCGGCCACGCTATCAGCCTGCTCGCTCTTGACCAAGGGTCCTTGGGGCGCATCAACTTCTGTAGGAGACGTATCCTCCGGAACCGTTTGCTGCAGCGCCTTGTGGGCCTGCTCCACACTCAAATAGAAGTTGTGGAAGAGCAGCAGCTGCTCCCAGCAGGCGCCGCACACATAGCCGCTGCCCGATTCAGGGATCTGAAAGTGGGGAATCCTCGTTGATAGTACCCAACGGAAAAGGTGTCGAGTTTTGTTTACCTGCAGCCAGAAGTGTTTCTCGATGATGCATCGCAGGCCCAATGAATCGGCCTCCTCCGACGCGAATTCTATGTTGCCGATTGCTTCATCGACAATCTGAGTGCACAGAAAACAAGGCATTTGTACCGAAAGTGCGCCTGTAAGCGTACAAAGTGCGTTACAATGCGTTTTACTTTACAAATGAGAACAGGCCGATGCACAGCTGATTGGCCCCATCACTAGCTGTTATCGATAATCTGCCGCGAGTAGTAGAACCATACATTTCTTGTTCAAAAATTATAGTTATCGATTTATTTCTATTTTTTATTTCCACTTTAAACACTTTGAAGTAATTTAAAACGTAAAATAATTAATTGAATTAAAGTTCCTAATAAAACACTCAAAGTTCCCAAGTGATGTGTAAACTTTATGTCAGTTTACTGTCTTTTAAATTAATTAATTACTCCATAGGGGCCCCACTATTTATCACCACAAATTTCCTTTAAGAAATTTAATTACAAATTTGTATTCCCTAAACTATTAAAATGATGAGTTGTTGAAAATTCTGCAGAAAATATCAGGAATTGAGAGACCGACCCTAAATGTTTTCTGTCGAATTTCCCAAAAGCTGTGACCAGTTGTCAACATTTTTGAAACTAAAAACACGTAATATCTCATTTTTCATTATAAGTTAATGCCTAAAATTATTAGTAAGGCAAGAAGAACTAGAATTTTACTTTCAAAACTGATTTTCAAGTAAATAATGCTTACTTCTGCTACTAAAATGTTTTAAAGTTTCTACCTTTTTTAATGAAATAAGGTGACGACTATGGTTTCCAGCATAACTTCTGGAGCTTTTATGGAAGAGCTGATAAACAGCAGACCAAATTTCATCCAGTCAGCAATTCAACCGTTTTGGGAATACCCCAGATGTTTTTGTGCTTTTTTTCTAGCAGTATTGAAAAAACACTACTTTATTTCAAAATAGCAGTGTATTTGGTATTTATTTTGGTACCATCTCTAATTAAGCAGAGCGCAGTTGAATTGATATGAATCGTTTTCCGGGCATTGTGAAATAAATCTGGAATAAAACAGGAGGGCAGCACTTGCTAATGCTCGGCACCATATACACAAAGACATGGAGACTGACAACATGGAAAATGCCGCCGCAGAAGGCGCAGCCTCTACCAATGACTCATCCCCTTCGCTGAACGTTCTGTGTGCAATTTGTAACGAGTTTTTCCGGGCAAACGACATCATCTTCTCGACCACAAGCTGCGGTCATGTTTTCCACAAGGAATGCCTCACCCGCTGGCTGAACACGTCCGGAACCTGCCCGCAGTGCAGGGGCGCCTGCAACCGGAATCGCGTCCACCGGCTGTATCTGAACTTCTCCGAAGCCACGGAGTACGATGATCAGGAGCCGCCCAAAATGCCCATCGAATGGGTGCCCATGGATCTCGACAGGAACAGCTTTCCGGACTCCCACCTGCCGCCCGAGGGAGCGGTGCAGTGCGGCACCAACGAGGACGGATTGCCCACTTATGTAGCCAGAGGTTTTTACCAAGATGATCTTCTGCCATCTGTGTATGTGCCAGAGAAGAAGGCTGCCTTTGGATCGCATGCGTGTAGGGCCCACCGTCTGACGGACGATGTGGAGCTGCTGGTACTGAACGACTGTGACCACAAGTGGGTGGCCGGCCAGGATGGAACCTATCCGCGGAATGCCCTGAAAACGGGCTACTCCGAGACGCATGAGGTCACCTATACGGGTCGCGGGATCTACGAGGGCATTCTTAGACTGGGTAAAGTGCATCCCTCTCACAAGGTTATGTACATCCCTCACCGGGGTCAGGAGGTCAACGTCAACACCTACGAGGTCCTGGTAGTCACCCCACGCGAACAGGCCGAACGATAATGCTGCTGCATCCTGAAAAACCTACGCCTTATTATTGTATGAATCTGTGTTATGTATATGTACGTCTGTTACATTTAAGAGTGTGCAGTGTCACCTCTGAATCCTCAACACCCGATACTAAATTTCTCCCTAACCCAATAGGTATATGATATTACCTCAAAGTTTCTGTCTCGAGCCTTATCAGTAATGTTAATCTATTACATTTCCCGAAATTTTATTGTACAGTTGCTTTTGCTTGCACTGATCAGCATGATAGCTAGCAAATAATAAAGATTTGAAAATTACAAAAGACGAATCAAAAAACCTTTTTCAATTATCACTAATCAACATTTTCTTATCAGATATGGCACATGTAAGTATGCAACACATAGAAATAAGTTCATTTAAAAATGACCGCGTTCAGCTTTAAGCCTAAAATATCTATATTTGCAGATTATCAAAAATATATTTCGTACAAGGTTTTTCTACATTTCTATTTCTAATTTCTACAGTCAGAAAAAACACCTTACTAATATCAAGTGCAAACAGTCAAGATTTATGAACCATTTCATACTTAACATTTTAAGAACGTTCGTACTTATTAAATAAAGCACAATTTGCGTTTTACTCTGAAAATACTTGATTCAAGGACGAAATACATAATTTTTTTTTTGAGTGTAGCTTAATTCAAGTACCTTATCTTAGGCGTTGATTCAAAGTGTATAGCAAAGATAACCAGCTGTTTAAGCCGGCCAGTTTGATAAGAACGGAAATCTCTAAGTAGGTAAAATATGTGGATGTTAGGTTTCTCTGAACAGATTGTCTTGTGTTCATTTACTGCTGACCCAGCCAAGTGCCCAGTTTGGTAATGTTCAATTCTTTTTAGACACTCATAACTTACATTTTTGCAAAGCGTAAACATTTTGTAATCCAATGGAGGCCAAAGCCCAAGTTAAGCCATCGTCATCTCTCGGAGTTATGTGTGCTATATGCGCCGAGTTTTACACACCCTGGGATGTGATATTTTCGTCCGCCAAATGTGGTCATATTTTCCACAAAGCCTGTCTTACGCGTTGGCTCAATTTGTCCCTGACTTGCCCCCAATGCCGAGGGAGCTGTCACAGGGATAGCATACGCCGGATATATTTAAATTTCTCACATAAACAGGATGGTGAAGGTAAGCAGCCAAATAAACTGCCTGTTCAATGGGTTCTTTTGGATATAAGTTTAAAAAAGCTACCGAAAGGCGTGGTCAAATGTGGCTTTGATGACAAAGGCAACTACACATATGTGGCTCGCGTCTACCTGAACGATGATTTGTTGCCAGCGAGCTATGTGGCAAGGACCAAAACAGCATTATGTTCTTGGGACTGCCAGGCCTACGAGTCCACCGAACTGGAAGTTCTAGTTCTGACCGATTGCCATTACAAATGGGTCCCAGGCACGAAAGGAAGTTACTCATCGGATGCCCTTCAAACCGGATACTCTGAGGATGGGGAAGTAACCTACACGGGACGTGGCCAATATAATGGAATAATGCGACTGGGAAAAGTGCATCCATCTCATGAGGTGATGTACATACCACATCGGGGTTTGGAAGTAAATATAACTGACTATGAGGTACTGGTAGTTGTCCCTTGTTAAAATAAAATATAAGAAAAGCTTTTCTGCTTAATTAATCTTCATGATGCATTATTTTTATTTAAAATGTGTTAGACGCTATGTAATTTCTGATTAGTGTTTTGAACCTACGCATGTTGTGAACATAATTATTTATATAAGACTACTCGTATATCTCTACAATTCATATTTTTCTCTGCACTCCGGCTTGGCTCTGTTGTTCCAACAGAGGGCCTCACAAAATTTGCTTTAAAAATACGTTTAGCTTGTATAATTCGTTTAATAAATCTGCCCAATCTGCACTGTAACATGACATTTAATATATATGTATATATTTAGCTAAAATACAAATTTATATGCTCAACATGCTTTTAACATTTAACCAACAGGCTTTTACTTTTCAATAGAAATAGGATTTTTTTTTGTTTTTTTTTTGTTTCATTGACTTTGTACTTAGTTTCTAAACAGTTTGTATATATAAATATAAAAATGAGTGTGTGACTGTGTTTTGTGTGGGAGTGTTTATGTGGTGTGTGACTACATAAGACATTTACATATATAATTATTGGTATTTACAAATTGATCGGATCCGATGTATAATGCATGCATGTGTTGTATTTCGTTTGCTAATTGAGCCTGAATTTGAGTTGGATCTGATTTGTGATTGGGCTGAATTGGTTAAACATTTGAGCTCAGTTGAAGACGAAAAACAGTCTACGTTGATATACACCTCCATTAGGATACAATTACGGCTTACACTTCAGGGAACAACGAAAAAAATTCTAAACAGACTTGAAAACAGTTTTAGTATATGGGGAAGTGGCTGGGGATGACTCTATAAACTATATTAACTAGTTTACAAATGTATTTTGCTGCCCTAAGGACGACCTATTTGTCTGTTTCATTTTTGGGCTGACAGATAGTTCATGTACTTTGTGGTCTGTTGGGCATTCCGCACCAGCTCGCTCTCCTCCTTACCAGAGGGTTGCTGCTCCTGGCCCTGACCACCCTGAGCCTGCCAGTTGTCCTCGCCCTGGGGTTGATGGACGTCTGGCTGGGAGCGGCGCGTGAAATGGCGATGCCGCTGGTGCTGATGCTGCTGCTGATGTTGCGGCGAAGTCTGCTGGCGGCGATCAAACGAGCTAGATGCTTCGCTGGCCAAACTACTCTGGCTGCTGTAGCGCGGGAATCGCGGACCACCGCCGCCTCCATGTGTGGGACTCTGGTTATACCTATAGCCCGTCTTGTCCATTTGAGACTTTGGCGGTCTTGGCAGAGTGCGAGCCCTGGAGGAGCTGCGACTATTCGACTCCGGTCCGTTGGAGTTGTACGCACAGTTCTCATCCTGATAGCCAACGTTTATGGCGTTGTTGGAGCGCCGCCAGGTATCGCTGTGTATTTTTTGATGGCCTCCCTGATGTTGCTGCTGCATCTGTTGTTGCTGCTGCTGTTGTTGTTGCTTCTGAAATCGCGGCGGTTTGTCGTAGGTGTTGCGGTTGTTGAACCGTCCACCTCGCTTGTAGTTGTTACCTCGCTCGTAGTTACTAATGTAAGAGCGCTCGCTGCGATCGTCGCGATCCCGCTGATCCCAATTTGAGTTGACGATGCTGTTGTAGTTGCCACCGCCAGACATGTTGCGCTCGATCCGCTCCTGCGAGTGTTTCCTCCGGTCGTGGATGCTGTAAAGTCGCAGGTTCCCGCCGCCTTCGCTGCGCA